CCCTTCTTCGGTTTAGGGTTTAGGCTTTAGGTTCCTGATGGCGAGACGTTGCAAGCCAGTTCCACAAGGTTTCTGGAAGACCTGTAAGAATCAACACCCTGATGCCCCAAAGCCACCAGCCTCCCAGTCTCCAAAAAAATGTCCAATGCCACAGGCGTCGACACAAAAATAACCTCTAATGAGTCATATGCCCGAAGTCGACAAGCCTAAACTTTAAGCCCTGCTACTAGTACGCGAAAGGCCCGAAAACCCGAAAGCCCAAAACCCTGGACGTGTAGCCGGCATCCACAGGACGCTAAGCTGGAAGCAGCAGCCCGAAAGAGAGGGGCGCTGCACTTGGATGAGAGCCGTGGCCAAAATGGTCTTTGGGCTCAGGGATTGATTGATTAGGCTATTCGGCGGGAGATTCTTGAAAGTAGGGGTGCAGTATTTACAAGCTGTCCTTACACAAGGATCCGATACTATCCAAAATCTAAGGTGTGTTCTCACTGCTTCAAGATTCGACTGCACTCAGCTAAGATAGGGGCCTTAATAATTAGAACAGGGTTTTGTGCTCTTTCATTGTATAATTATAATAAGAAACCCCCAAAACCGTATTCTAATCATGAAGGCCCCTACATTACTTGAACTGTTAGGTTTCAGGCCTGAGGTAGTTGGTGGTGCCAACCCCTACTCCGTAAACATCAGCCTTTTTGGCTCGAGCCGCTCCATGCTCAACGCTTCCAGCGAGTGGTCCCAGTTGTGAGGGATGCAACTCTAAAGACAACCTGCCCTTAGCGATACGGCTGCAGCTTCGAAAAGACTTGAAACAAATGCATAGACCCTAAACCCTAAACCCTTTACCCCCAGGATCGCAGAATGCATGGGCGTCGAGCTTCCCGGGGCTTGGCGACCCTTGGACGCAAAGAGTTCGGCAGACTTCGGTAGCTTCGATCCCTTGCAGCATCTTCTGCCATGAAGGCAATCAGCCTCATTCGTGGCATCTGTTCTGATTACAAAGAATACCACTACTGACATATGACGCAGTGATTGCCTATGGTTGCCAATTCTCTATTGGTGCTGTAATGATCGATAGTGTTGCTTTTTCTTTGCATTCGTCGGCCACCTAGGTTTCTTTGCCCATCACATGCAGAAGGTGGCTACTTGACTGCAGCTGCTTGCAGGTCACGGCCATGCATCGGACTGGCGTGGGATTGGCAGGACCATCCTTGAAGAGGGATTTCGGCCATACCCAAACAGGCCGATGCATATACAGATGTGGGATAATTGTCAATGTTGTGTTTTTCCTGGGCAACGGCAGCTTTTGGAGAAGTGGCATTTTCGCAGGAGCTACCTGTGTCTCGGTTTCAAGTTTCAGACGTTTAGTTTTTCTTTCGTAGATGTACTTGTTGTTTGTAAATTCCTGCTCGCCGAGAAACTCAATTTTGTTGCGGCTAAAAGGCCCCTGAAGTTCCCCAAGCCCTGCGGCTGTCAATGGATTAACGTTGTGTTTGTTGTTCCGGGTGATGATGATTATTGTTGTTGTTTTGTTCTGGGTATTGCTCAGCTCTAAGCTCCAAACCTCAAAGCCAGCAAACCCTCATGATTTTTGTTATTCTACAGGCACGGGCGCGAGCCGAGTCGGCTTGGTCTCCCTTGGATGACAAGCGGCTGCTGCAGGAGTGCTGGCGCGTTTTGCTGACAATAAACGGTAGTCGGACGAGCTAAAATAATTCAGGTTATCATCGCCAGGTCGCAACAACCAGGACAACTCTAGCTTAGGGTTAGTAGCGGCAATACTGTGAGGCAGTACCACGCACGACTGAGACGGAATATCGAGTTTACTGGTCGCAATCCCATTGACAGCAGCCCCGTATGTCGGCCCTCCTTATGGTTTTCCATGTGCTGAATCCCCGACCCGTAGGCCATATAGGCTTGAGGGGAAGTTTCAGTAGCGTCGTGCCAGATAGCTTGCATGGGCTCTTCGTGTGTGGTGCTGTCGAAGCGCCAGGGTAAGGGCTCACGGTCTGTTGGTGTGCTCAATTGTATGTTTAGGAACTGTAGGTGTAGGTCTTGAGGACCGGAGGTTTTTGATGTAAAACACGTTTAATTGAACTCAGTCCACCAGTAGGCGGTTCTCAGGCCCCGAGCCTAAGTTTTGCAATTGAAGTCCATGCTTCCATGGCTTCAAGACAGGAAGGTATTGGGCTTCAAGGTTTTGGAAAGTAGGGCTGCAGGGCCTATCGGGTCTCTTGGGTCCTGCAGACCCCAAAGACCCCAATCGAGATTCTGACGGGGATTGATTCGTTCCCTTATGGATTCCTTTTGCAAAGGTCCTTGGGCAAGGAGCCACTAAGTACAATATTGGAACCACACCCAAGATTCCCCTCGGAATCCTTCTTTTTCATGAGTGATGTATTCTTTCGGGCCGCCCCCAGAAGGGATGTCGTCTCGAGTAGCAGCGTTGTAGAAAGGTTCCGCGTCGCTGATGAAGGTAACGAACCCTAAACCCCTAAACCCTAAACCCTGCTCATGACGACAAGGATTTGAGACTCCTGCTGGTGCCCGTTGGTTCAGCTTTGCAGGGCTGAACACATATGATTCCCTAAACCCTAAACCCTAATCATATGATAGCAGCCGAGGGTTAGGGGTTTGGGATTTTAAGCTAGCCATGAAGCCAGTAACAAACAGGAGTTAATCTGGTGAGACCGTTTCGCTGACTCCTAAGCCCTCTGCTGCGAAAGGCCCATGCAGACCTTGGTGAGGTGGAGGGCAACTGGGAGTGACCCGGCCGGTCACCGAAAGTGTTGAGTCGCGATGCCACAGCACGAAGTGCGCTTAACGATGGCTTGATGATGATTTCGACGACGAACATGAATAGGGCGAAGGGGACGCGATCAAATTCAGATGAAACAGTTATTCACCTGAGAGCTGCCAAGCAACCTTGTTTAACAAGCACAAGCCCGAGCCATCATCAAAGGGCCGATGCCGAGTCTGCCCCGGAAAAGCCACCCCAGCCTAAGAGTCCCGAATCTCGACACCGACATGCTGGCAATCCAATGTGTATTTGGGGGGCGTTAAGAAACCAGCGGAGCCGTTTTTCTGGGGGTGCCTGTTTGCATTTAGAAATAAAACACAAAAATGTCATACCACTAGAACCACCTTCGAATACCCTACATAAGCTGGAAGTGACCGGGAACTGAAGAAGGAGAGACGAGGACAGGGAGAGGGCCTGGCATGAGACATGGACATGTGGAGGTCGATAAGCAAATCAAGTTTGAAAAACACAGGGCCCTAGATGTTTAAGCCTGAGCCCTGAAGATGCTACAGGCTGCTGGCCAGTCGAGTGCCCGGGCGCACCCCAAGTGAGTGCGAGAATCGCTTCAGGACGTCGGACCCCTGTTCTGTTAAATCTACGGGCGGTAATCACCAGGATAGGGCTTTGCGGTACTAGGGCTTTGCGGTACAGTAAAGTGTATGCATATGGGGGGGGGGGGGTGTGAGAAGACACTATATTGCAAATCATTCAGACTTATGTTTTGGTGTTGGGAAAGCTTCATTCGGTTCCGGGCTCAGGTTTTGAATTGAGAGTTTAGGGTTTCTGCATGTCTGCCGGTTCTGGTCCGATCTTTGTGTAGAAATTGCATTACAGCAGCGGCCGCCGGAACTGCCTTTGGACAGTTCATGTCTTGTACTCGTAGCTATGTCTCGGGCTACGACAAATCAAAGCAGCTCGACACAACACAACATGCCGAAAGTTGCCGAAAGGCTCCTGCAAGTGCCAGCATCGCAGCAGGCTGATCGGAATCTTGGCCTGCAGAGCAGCCTATGCCAGCGTGGATCCCCGAAGAACCGTCAAGCGTGCACGTTTGGAGTAGGATACTTTACGTTGTTTTTTGCTGTGTGTGTGTGTGTTCTTTGGTGTCGTATTTTGATGTCTCTTCGAATTATAAACACCTGCATCCTCATCGTCATCATATTTTATCAAGATTGTCAACGTCCCCAGTGTCAATATCAAAACTCAGGTCGTCCTGAGCCTAAACGCCTAGAGTCGACGCTCGATGCCAAAAAGCCATGCCGTGCCACCCACTCATTGTACTTTTGAACGCAAGGTTGCTAAGCATCAGCAGATCACATAGTTGCACCGTTTAATTATCGTGGGCCTTGGAGCTATACGTCCCAACTCTTTTTGTGGACCCGGCGACGATCATAAGGATTTCTAGTGGTGTTGTGATTTTCCCCATGACTGTTTGCGAATGACCACTCTGAGGAGTGCGTGCGGCCTTGACGGGATGCATGATGCAGCGGAGCTTCCTTCGGTGGAAAAGCGAACGGTGCCGACCGATTTAGGGGTTCAAAGCAGCACAGCTTCACCCCCCACACCCGGGATAGAGACTTCAAGCGCCAGGGATCCGACTAATTAGTTATCTCATGTTCCTGACGCAAGGCTGGGTGTTTTTGAGAAGGGCATTATCCGGATCTGCGAGGCTCGAAGTGAGACGGCTGCCACGGCAGCGGCTGCAAGCACAGGCCATGCCCCCCGCGCCCCTGTAGTATAGAGGGCAAAATGAGTAGTCATGCACCTTTACAGTCCCTGTACTCTTATAGAACTATAACTATTTATTGCAAACCCATCGCAAAACTATAGTAGCTCGGGCCCCTGTAGTCACCCTACAGCTTAGACCCTAACTGAGATCGTGGTTTTGTTGTGGATCGGGCTTTACCTAGGCTCTGACCTTAAAACACTTTGAGACACAAAAACCCTGGGCAAGTTATTTTTTTAGACATGGCCTCGTGTTCTTGTCTTGCATTTGTTGGCAGGTTTCTTGTTTCGTGTGGCAGGAGTGAAAACATCTGGTACAAATCCCATAGGGCTTTCAGGATGTATGGTTTGGGCTTAGAGTGTACAAGCTGGATGTTTGCTGCCACGTTGTTGGGTTTAGGGTTTAGGGTTGTGCCCGGGTTGGAGGACTGAAGTTGGTTTCAGAGCTTGCGCTTCTCTCCAATGACGATACCGCCCCATATGGGAGCTTCCGAAAATAATGGGTACTTATTCTGGGGTCCTTATAATAAGGATCCTACTCTTTAGGGTACTATATTAGTGTCCCCTATTTTCGGAAACCCCCATATAAAGAGTCGCCTGAATTCTGAAACACGAAGCCTTACCACCTCTGGCAAACGAGGTATTCCACCCACGCATGCTTGAACGGGTATACACCCTGTGAGGATTTCGGATTTGCTTTTGAGCTGAAGTTGAGGATGCCGATGCTGAGGTCCAGGAATCAGGCATGTTTGCTATAGCCTTGAGCTTGGAGATATAAGCAGCTTCGCGTTTGGGACTTTCAGTCAGCCATGTGGTGTGTCACACTACATTATAATATCTTGACGCCTTCGTTGTATTCTCAATTCAATTATTGATATAAACTGATACTTCTCCATCACTCTATGTTTGTTGCCAGGCCTTCCCGAGTGGCCTGAGCAGACCCAAGAGACGAGCGGGGAGCAGAAACATGGGCCCGCAGGGACGGGGCTTGTGCGGGAGTCCGGATGTGGAAAGTCGCACAGAAGCACTGCATGTGTTTCTTCGCATCTTGTTTGCATCTCGCTGGGCTCTACAATTTTATGCACACCCATGCAGTCGAGTGCAGCTTAAACACTTGAGACATCGCATCCTCACCTGCTTAGGGCCCAGGGCTGGGTTTTGGTAAGTTAGGCTGCCTTTTCAAGATTGCGGGAACTGCGCTCAAGCCTCAATTCTAAACTAAGCAACCTAAAACTAAAACCCCTGTTAGGTTTTATTTCGGGTCAGAGCTCGGGTGGCTAAGCACGAGGTGCACGGGAGTCGCACATGAGTCGCCTCAACCCAAGACCAAAGATTCCCGGTATACACATGCTTATATGTATATTGATATCTCAGTACTATCACTAAGAAACAGTGTCAGGCCATACAATGCAAGCTTCGTGCTGCGAAGTCCTCTCATGTTGGGAAGCGCCCACTAACTCCTGAGAGGACTGAAGCAAGGTCTAGTCCGCGAGATGTAATTTAAGGCATGTGGAGCGTTGCACTTACAGGCCAAAGTCTAGATCCTCGCTGCCAGCTGGTCTAGCGAGTCACGACGCAGAAACAACAACAACAACAACAACAACAACAGCAACAGCAACAGCAACAGCAACAGCAACAGCAACAGCAACAGCAACAGCAAAACCAACAAGCAACAAGCAACAAGCAACAAGCAACAAGCAACAACAAACAGCAGCAACCATCAGAAAGCAACAACAATTAAGAGCAACCAGCCACAGCCAACCACAGCAAGCAACGACCAACCACAGCCAACAACAACCAACCACAACCAACAAGAACCAATGCCAACCAAGTCCAACCAACACGAATCATTCCCAACCAACAACCAACAACAACCAGCAACGCCAGCCACCACCAACAACAACAACAACAACAACAACGACGACGACGACGACGACGACGACCACAACAACAGCAGCACCAGCAACAGCAAGAGCAGCAACGGCTTAGCAGATCCACTACGGACCTTTGCCATGACAGCCATCACAGGCATAATCCTCAGACTGTTGCCGCTCATGTTCCCAGCTTGCGTTTAGCGCTGCTTGGGTACCAAACTACGACCGTTTGAGACCAGACAGTTTGCTGTGCTGCCTAAACAGTCAAGGCCGGCTACAAAACCCTCAGCTTTGGTTTCAAGGCCTCTGTACGAGGGTAGGAGCTTTTCTCACCGAGCAGGGACTAGTATAACTGTCTGGCCGGCGCTATGGCTGAAGCATGGAGAAGCGACCGACCAAGGCCAGCAGGTCACAATTTAGAGTTCGGTGCAGGGCTGAAGGTTCAGGATCTGTTCTCGACAGTTCGAGTTTGTGGTTCGGGCTGCGGCACTTGGTTACAGAACACTTTTAAGGTTCGGCTGAAGGTGCTGTCCTACTCAGACCTACTGGTGATTTATGTCACGAGGGTTACAATTCTCAATGAAGATCTACCCCTAAACCCTGAACAGCCCTAAGCCCTGAGAGGGCAAGCCCTCAAGCCGAACAACCTTCCCACGCGCAGACCCCTCGCGGCCGCTCTGCTGCTACGCGAGGAGAGAGCCAGGGCCCTCAGCCCGACGTTCGGTTTGGTTTAGGGGTTACCTATAGTCTCCATTGTAGTTCTTGTTTTTGGTTTAACCACATATATTATATGTTAAGGATTTTATAAGGTATCCCCAAAGAGGAACTACAATGGAGACTATAGGTAGGGTTTATAAGGTTTAGGGGTCTACATACAACAATCAGGATGACTGCTATCGGTGTTGCTACCATATTACCACACGTTACCACCATCAGCCCATGTTCGTCGTCAGGCTACCAAGAGAAGTGACCGAGCGCGCGTCTTTCCAACATATAGTGGCCTTGCACAGTGCAACAAATGACGTGTAGCTGTTCAAGCACTGATGCAGAGGGTTTGTTACTTCAGGGGCTACAGAGGACCTCAGCAGTTCCACCTTACAATAGTCCGAAGCGAATGCGTGTGTATACGCACACAGGGAGTCAAGGTCGGGTTTCTGAACTTGGAAACCTTGAGGTCGGACTGAGCACAATTAGGCGTTTAGGGCACAGTCCGAGATCCTTCGCCCTCAGCCTTGCCTGGACTGGACCCTGCTCAGCTTCTAGAATCGCGCAAGGCTTGCAAACTGCCTCGCTTAGAGTTGTGAGTTGTTGGAGTCGCAGTCCCGTGCGGCACGGAGGTTTTGGAACTCTGCCGGAAACAATTCTCTGAGGTAGTTCCACCCCCGTGATTTTTGTTCCACATTTGTCCCGGTCTGGTGTTTCCCAGGTTATGCGCCGAAGATCTTCGTATCTTGGCAGCTTAATCACGTAAGCCCTCCACAGTGCGAGGCCCCTCTGTGAAATTCAGAAGCCGGCCCCTAAACCCTAAACCCCAGAACAGTGGAACCCTTGTTTGGGGGATGTCGCCTCATCCAACATGGTTTAGGGTGCGGGGTCCGGTCTGGGGGACTAGGCCCCGCATTCCGTGTCTCTTTATGGTTCTTAAGTAGTAAATCCAGCATGGGTAGTTGTCAAAATTATGGTCGCTTTTGGGGTACCCTAAATAATAGGTGCCGTATTATAATAAGGACCCAAAAAGGGGCCGCAATTTTGACAACCACCCGCATCAGGAATATCAGGTGGCTGTTCAAAAACAAACTCTCAAGTCTCACAGTATCCCCACCGCGAAAGCCCGCTGGAGTTATGCAAGCTTCGATGGCGCTAGGAGGAGCTGCACTCTGACACTGTAGTGTTCGATGTTGACATTACCGAGACGATGTCGTGCCTGCACGGCTGGTTTTTTTTTGCTTGGTGACAGGCCAGGCAAACAAGCTTAAAGTCTAGATCCCAGACCCCCCTACCCGAAACCCTAAACCCTGAACAATGAGAGTACACAGCAGCGCCCACCGCACAGATTTGGGAAGCCCCAATCTCGCCAAAACCTTGGCCCGGGACCTTCAACTTCAAATTCTCAATCTCTACGAAACTTGAGTCCGGAAGGCCCGCAAACACTCTAGCGGCCTGGACTCTAAGACCCTGTATAGACACAACGCCCTTCTAAACCCTAAATGCTAGAACGGCGCTTTTTATCAATAAGGCTATATCGCCGGGTTTTGGAGGTTTTTGGGTTGACCATGGGCCCGCCGGCTGTGGTCCCCAGGCTTTCGAACGAACGTAGTAATCTGGTTGGAAGATTGAAAAATCTCTGTTTGGCCGTCGGGGCTTAGGGTTAACATGACACCTGGCCCTCATTAGGGTTGTTCACAGGAGCCGCTATGTCTGAGTATTCATTCCTACAGAGGGAGGACGGGTGCCGCCCAGGTGTATCTTGTCAGTTCACCTCCACACCAACTGCTCCTGGGCGTTGCATGCCTCTCCGTCTTGGTGTCCTTGCTGCAAGTGATCCATGCCGACAGCTCCGGGGACCCGGGCACTTTCCGAAGCTAGATGTCCGGTTTGAGCAACTAGCCTTTGGTTGTTTTCGGTTCACCTACAAGCATTTCGAACTATCTGCCTATGTGGGTATATTTGCAATGCATTCCCACCACCGTACTGCCAGCAATGCCCGTTTTCGGGCCAAGGAACTGAGCCACCGAGCTCCCCCCAACTAGTCACTCGGGTTGAAGGTTTAGGGTTTTGGGGCTCAGGGACTCGTGTCGCGCGCCGTGCCCACTCCGAAGGCCCTATGGCACTTCGCATGCTCTGTTTGCGTCACTGGGTCATGTTTCCCCTAAACCCTAAACCCCAAACCCTAAACCCTGAACCCTGAACCCTAAACCCTAAACCCTGAACCCTAAACCCTGAACCCTAAAATGCGGACTTGGACGGAGAGTCTAGGGCCTTGGGTTCAGCTATGTCATCCTGTGCAGCTGAAGCCGAGGTCATAGTGCTTCTGAGCCTGGAGCGCGGCGCCTAGCAATGTAGGGGCCTTTCTAATTACCAATACTGTTTTTGGGTGAGGTTCCTTATTGTAATCATAGTATAGTATACCAATTACTAAGGCTCCATATAATCAGCAAGGTTTCGGGCTGTGGAGTCCTAAGCCCTTTCGCCTGCAGGATGCAGAGTCCCAAGGCCCAGAGCCCAGCACTGTCAAGCAACCCGTGCCCCCCCCAACAAAAGCCGGTCTGCTTAGCCCCTAAGCTCTGGAGCTTGCGATGCCCTAAACCCTAAACCCTAAACCAATTTGCTGCATAAACCGCGAGGAAGTTGGCCAGTGATGCATGCTGAACTGACGAGTTCTGAAGTTTCTGCAGCCACCAGGCGGACATGCAAAGCAGACGAGATGAGGAATTCAGAATACATATGCATGGCAACTGCATACTGCATACTGCATTTGGGGACCTGCACGATGAAGCGAGTGGGAAAGACTAGCATGGGCTCTCTTGCCGACCCCAGCTCCGGAGCCAAGAAACACAAGACCAGGGGAATGAGCTCGATGAACAGCGACATGAAGCTTGTGAGCAGAGGCAGTGTTAGGCTGATTAAGTTAATGCAGGACGTCAAACGATCGCCCCCTGGCCACATGAGCCAGACAGACTGGAACTCGCTACCTCGCCTAGGCTTGTCCGGGTGTGAGTGCTGAAGCCCTGAACCCAGATCCGCCTTCGAGGTTCGTCAGGTTGGAGGATGTCTTCGATGCCACCAACCACTTGGTTCTCAGAGTCAAGGTGGGGTGAAACAAGACTTAGTTCTCCAATACACAACCGTTAAACTTTGAAGTAAGAAGAAGAGCCCCCTCAGTTTGTGTTCTCTGAATCATACACCCTGCATCGTGAACTATCGTTTACGCCGAGGCTGTCATGATCTGTCATGCAGGGAGAAACAGGCCCGATAAATCGCATAATCAAGTTACAAATTACACTTTACTTTACAGGCGCCTTCCTTGATTCGATATCGTGGTGCTCCCGTCATGTCCTTATCCGTGCAGACCACGGAGCCCGTCCTGGGCTACAACAGCTGGGCAGAGGCCAATGATCGTGGATGCGTTTCCAGTCATACATGCAGTCGACATGGAAGCGAGCATGCACAAACGAGGGTGCATCGATGCTCTAGCTCATGCAGGTGCCGAATGTGTAGCTCGCTTGCCTGTTCTAAGTCTACTGGGACATGACCCCATGCGCTTTGGTGATGTTGATGAAACCTATGCTTCCTACACGAGTGATCATGAGCTTCGCTTGGAACTGCTACTGCTGCTGCCATTACTACTACTACTACTACTACTACTACTACTACTACTACCACCTCCTACTACTACTAC